ACTGGCTCGGTACCGAGCGTGTACTTGCTCGGTACCGAGCATGTACCGCTAAGTACCGAGCATATACTTGTTCGGTACCGAGCATGTACTGAGCAGTACCGAGCATATACTGAGCGGTACCGAGCATGTACAATCTGATGAAGCGAGACATGAAGCAAATAACGGGAAGAAAGATCGTTACCTAGCCGTGAAAAAAGAACCTTCGATTACAAGAAGCTGGAGAAGAAGAAGCGAGACATGAAGCAAATGACGGGAAGATTACGAGAAGCAAGAGAAGAAGAATAAATAAATCGTTACCTTCGATCGCCTCCAGCTATGTTCAAACTCGACCGAACTGTGGTTGTCCAAGTTGGCGGAGTTCGCCTTTCAGTTCTCACCCGAAGCAGAAGCGGGTTGCATGTTAAGAGTGCTGGACCATTCAAGATAATTAAGAAAATCAACGATAATGCTTATGTAGTAGATCTGCCTGCAGAATTCAATATCAATGTTTAAAACCTTACTTCGTGAGAAAAACTTCTTTCTCTCAAGACGAACCTTCAAGAGAAGCAACAAAGAACGTCTTCAAATAGTTCAACCCTTCGGAACCAATGTATGGCCGATCCCAACCTTGATTCCGGATTCGTTTACAATGAGCAAGGACACGTCGACATCCTCCGGTCAACTTTCTTCGACGTCAACCTGGAAGTTGACAACTCTGTCGAATAATATTTGGATCGCATCATCTTCACGCTATCCGAAGCAATCGAAGAATGACACACTAACGTTCAGTGGCAAATTGCTTCCGGGCATCGGCAAGGGTGAACTTTGTAGGTGGTGATTCAATCACAAGGATTTGTGCTAATCCCTCTGCCTCTGCTTAGTAATAGTAGGATTTGAATTTTACTTTCTATGATTCTAATCTCAATATTAACGTAGGGATCTTATTGAAAATCTACTTTATTTGCATCTTGTTCAATTTCTAGATTACTTTGGTGATTCAAATTCTGAGCATGTGATTTGGCCTAAGCGTAGCTACCCTTCCTTCGTTTTCTATTATCGTTTAGCAGCTAACAGTCTTAATTATTATTTGGTCTTATTTAAATCGTGCAAGCTCTTATCGCATTCATGTAAAACATAATTAGTCCTGCATCACATGGATGATGTTTATAAAATTTCCGGTTGGATCACCTTAAGAACTAAACCTCTCCAAAGCTGCCGAAGACCTTTTCCTTTATGAACTCTGACCAAAGAAAGAATTAGATATTTATTTGAGTATTTTGATGAATTGGATGTATTTATTAAATGAAACGTTTTTTTCCAGCCAAAGTTTTAATAAAGTTGCAAGTGCCAAACTTCTAACTGTTTTATCCTTGCAACTTATTATTTTAGAGGAAGATTGTTTTTCTATTCAGGGTTTGCATCTTATCTTTTCTGATATCATGAATTCATGTATTTATTATATTATCAAAATTTATACAAAAAGCTGCAACCGATACTTTCCTTCCTAAAATTTTAAATTTATCTCTGATGATGCTACTGAAAGCTCTTGGCTTTGCAGACAAGAAGAGAAGAATTTTTTTTTTGAAGAATTACTAAATTTTAGTTGCAGTGACAACGTTCAAGTGATCTCTATTGTGGGTTCTTGTGGGTCTGGTAAGACATCACTTGCTCGCAACATCTTTCGAGTTGTCGGCCTTGTGCAGAAATTAAAAGACGGTTGCTCAAAAAACTATTTTGATCTGCGGATTTGGGTTAGTTTGTCACCAAACTTTGATCTGGTCAAAACTATAAAGGAGGTGATCAAAGCGGTAGAGAGAAGGGAGTGCCATGATTCCACCTTAGATTTGCTTCAATATCATCTCAAGAATATCATTACAGGGAAAAGATTCCTACTTGTGTTGGATAACTTGTGGAGAGACGATTTTGACTTTTGGGAGAATCTACGAATCCCTTTAATGGATGGAGCTGAAGGAAGCAAAATTCTAGTTACCACGCAGAATGAAAACGTTGCAAGAAGTATGCAAACGGTGCATAAATTATGTTTACAAGGTCTACCAGTAAATGATGGTTGGCTACTCCTTCAGGATCTAGTATTTTCAAAGGATGAACGAATCAAAGTTTTCACAGAGCAACCAAAACTGGAGGATATTGGTAAAGATATTGTGAAGGAGTGCCAAGGTTTTCCATTAGCAATAAAAGCTATCGGTAGCCTTTTGTACTCTGAAACAGATGAAAACCAGTGGGAGCTGCTTTCCCAAGAATTGATGGAAAATGGGAAAGTTGCAGGTACTATTATTCCAATTTTAAAAACCAGCTATGATCATCTCCCTCTGCATCTTAAACATTGTTTTTCCTTCTGTTCCACATTTCCAAAGGATTATGAGTTTGGTAAGGAGGAGTTGGTCAAGTTATGGATTGCTTTGGACTTAATTAAGAATAGTTCGCGGATACAAATGGAGGATATTGGTGAAAGGTACTTTGATGATCTTTTATGGAGGTCTTTCTTCCAAGCCTGTGATAGCAGTATGAAAGATAGCCGTATGTACAAGATGCCAACTGTGATCCATGAACTAGCGCATCATCTTTTTAGATATGAAAGTTTAAGAATAAATCAGAGTGTAACTGAACATGGTGAATCAGGAACAGCCCGCTACGCCTTATTATGTCAGGATGATAAGCAGTCGGCAACATTTAATAAGATGTTTGAGAACAAAGGCCTGCGAGCACTTGTGTTATGCAGTAGAAATGGGGTACTCATGAAAGAGGTCTTAATAGATCTATTTGAGAAAATAAGGTTTCTACGCTTACTGGATCTGAGTAGCAGCTGCCTTGTGGAGCTTCCAGATTCAGTCTGCAATTTGATTCTTCTACGTTACCTAAGTCTGCATGGCACAAACATAAAAAGATTACCTGAGACAATAGGCAAATTGTACCATCTTCAGACATTGCAACTAGGCAATTGCATTCAAATTCATGAATTGCCAGATTCCATTGGTGATTTAAAATTTCTCAGGCACCTTGGACTTCATAATACCAGTATACGGATGCTACCTGAAACTGTAAGCAATCTTTTGAATTTGCAAACCTTAGAACTTGGAAACTGTTACAAGCTAGAAATGTTACCAAAAAGCCTGAAAAACTTAGTTCACCTGCGATATCTTGGTTTGCAGCTTGATTGGGATAGTTGGGATAGACAAATTGATATCATTGCCATGCCCCCTGGTATTGGATGTTTAACATCTTTAAGACACTTGTCAAGATTTGCTGTTGGATCAGAAGCCCAGTGTGGCTTAGGAGAATTGAAGGAGTTAAAACTCCGTGGCAAGCTTTGCATCAGTAAACTTGAAAACGTAGTTAGTGTCAACGATGCAGAAGCAGCCAATTTAAGTGGCAAACGGTACATTGATTCTTTGATGTTGAGATGGGGTGATGCTGCATCCACAGAATCAAAAAATTTGCTTGAAGAAGATGTGATTGATCGACTCCAGCCTCACAAGGATCTCCACAATTTATACGTAGAAAATTACAATGGAAAGAAATTTCCAAATTGGATGCGAGATCCATCTTTCTTGAAGTTGGAAACATTGAAACTCATCAATTGCAAAATGTGCTCATCTCTCCCATGCGTGTGGAAGCTGCCTTCACTGAAAACACTCCAAATAAAGGGTCTGCATGGAGTGGAAAGGTTTGGCACTGTGCTTTCAGGTTTTGAAAATTTAGAAACACTTGATGTGTCAGATATGCATAATTTGAAGAGCTGGTTTCGTATTGGAGATGGCCCAATGAGTTGCCTTACCGCTCTGTACATTTCTGATTGTCCCAATTTGGAATGGTTGCCATATCTCCCACCTAGCATTAAAACATTTGAGTTGAGGAACTGTCAAAATTTGCGTGTTCTTAATAGTCTCCCAAACCTACAGGATTTAGTTCTGGAAAGTGACCGTGGATCAAGACTCAGATGGGTTCAGGATCTAACATCTCTTACTTCATTAACCCTTTCCAAACTCTCACAAATTCAAGATGACCACAAAGGAATTTTCAAAAATCTTACTTCTCTCAAACAATTGAAAATTCAGGAATGTTATGATCTTTATTCAATTGATGAATTACCTGCTGGCGTGGAAAAGTTGGTAATCAAAGAATGCCCTGTGCTAAGTAGACGGTGCCAAAAGAATGGTGATGATTGGCTTAACATACAGCACATTCCCTATATTCAAGTTGACCAAACTGAAAATCGTGATGGCATTTCTCTGGAAAAGCATCCATCCACTCTATCTCAGGTATGCTTGATATTTTCTGTACTCTTTAACCATTTAATGTTTTTACATTCTTTTTATGAGTTGCTTTTTTCAATAATACAGTTAAGATTGCACTTTTATCTTCTCTTACAATGCTACCACTTCCATATCAGACCTTGTATTTGATTTCCTTGTTGGAAACTGGGTGGTTGCGGGCACTTGCATCTGTTTTTTGTTTTGGTTGAGAGAGGGGGATATTTACATATCTAACACTTAAAGTTTAATATATATTTATATAAAATCCGAATCTTTAAACCATATAAAAAATACTGCTAATCTTACTTGCACATTTTCATGCATATATTTTGATGCAATTAAAACACTGAAGTGTTATATCAATAAAGATCAAATTTTAGATATTTGATATGTAAATACATAAAAATTATGTGATATATATGCCACTTCCTACATAAGAATAGTTTCCTACTTCGTGTTTACTATCTTTATTTCTATCCAATGAAGACTAACAGCTCTTCAAACTATCTTCTATATAAAACTCTTCAGTAGTAATTATAATCGTTATCTATCAATGTTTAATTCTTTTTTTTTTTCTCTTTTTGTACTCTTGCTGTTATAAGATATTTCAGTCTTCTTCCTGTTGACTTGTTATAGTTTGGTAAACGATAATGAAAAATTATAACTTTGCTATTGCACCAAGGAAGATTCTAACATGCAAATATATATTAAATGTTTGAAAGATAATCTGGAAGCTGTCATGAGACATCCCTGGCCCTGAAGGTAACTGCTATATTACTGATTAATGTTTAAAAAGTTGGGATTGAGGGAAGCTGTGAATATGAAATATCCATGACAGAGAAGTTCCATATTTCATTATTGATAAAGATGTTACATCATATTCTTTCCATCTTTGCTTTGCAGTTTGTCATGAATTACTTATTTACATGGAAAAAAGGCAGCAGCGAAAAGTCCTAATCACATGGTGAAGATGAAGTCTATATTCAAATAGGTACCTGTACCTGAACTCTTATCCTATTCCTTCAAGAGCAGAAAGCCTCTCCATATCAATTGTAAATGGAGCAGCTCAGTTTTTAGAATGGCTACAGGAAGCCTTTACTCACCTATGATTCTATCAAGTGATGTTGTTATGTTACGTTTCGTCTACTTTTTGGTAAATTTTGGTGTCAAGAATCAAGAAGCTCATACTGTTCAGAAGAAAACTTTTTGTCAATTAAATGTTGCATGAACTGTTTGCTTTAATTGATATCGATGATCAGTTGAATGGAAATTGATGGTAGCTTTTCTTTGATTATGAATGTTGTTACTTGAACATCTATGGCAAGGATGACTTTTTACTGCTTTTTAAAACAGCTTTTTAGTATAAAATTTTAATTTTTATTAAAAAGTTGCTTTAAGAAGCAATAAGAAAGTTTTCCCAAACAATGCCTTAATATCCTCTTTCATAAGAATAATGGTCGAGCTTATCACTAAAATACTCTTGATAATCTCTTCAACACCCCAAAGCTCGTCCTAATACTATAAAAATCAATTATCATGGGTCATACCTACAAGGACATATCATAGATTATTAGGATCATACGATTGGTCGTTGTCTGCCCTAGTAGCCTATCCCTCGCAAGATTCCTGTTCCCTGGCATCTCTCAGCTGTTGTCGTCCATCTGCTCTCAGAGAAGCTCTTCTTTCAGTTTGTTTGTGTTTTTTTCTGCATCTATTTGGATTTGATTCGTCCACCATCGGCCGGTTGGCCGGTATGGCGGTGAATTACTCTTGATAATCTCTTCAACACCCCAAAGCTCATCCTAATACTATAAAAATCAATTATCATGGTTCATATCTACAAGGACATATCATAGATTTATAAGGATCATATGATTGGTCTTCGTCCGCCCTAGTAGCCTGTCCCTCGCAAGGTTCCTGTTCCCTGGCATCTCTCAGCTGTTGTTGTTCATCTGCTCTCAAAGAAGCTCTTCTTTCACTTTGTTTGTGCTTTTTTCTGCATCTATTTGGATTTGATTCGTCCACCATTGGTCGGTTGGCCGGTATGGCGGTGAATCGCTTAACCGACCTTGGATTTTTGAATGGTATGATTAAGTCGCAGTCTTTCCGCAAAGCTTTCTATGGTTCTTCCCATGCGAGGTTTCTTGATATGCAAACTACTTCTTTTCGTGGACTGTCGTCTCTATGGATTTCTAAGGAAGAGATCCTCGCCCTTGCGGCACCTCTGAATTTTTCTTTGGTTGACTTCTTTCCCTCCCACCGCTCTTTCCTTGACTCTATTCGGAAGTTCTTTAATTTAAAGCTCATTAGTGATTTCTCTGTCACATTGTTGGAGTCTTTGCATATTTTGATTAAGTTGGTTAACGAATTGGATTACAGTAAATTTTTTGCCATAAATCCTACATTATTTTTAATTGTTATATGAAATTGACCAAATGGTCGTTCTTGCTTGACATTGGTGTGGAGTCTTCTGTGATTCTTATATGGGTTCCATTTCCTAACCTACGCCCTCATTTATTCTCTCCCCATATTCTTCATGGTCTTGGCTCGTTATTTGGTCGACTGTTAAAAGTTGATAATGCGACATGTAATGGCTCCCGTCCCTCTGTTGCACGTGTTTTGGTTGAATTCGACATCACTAAAAGCTTTCCTAATAAGATTTGGGCAGGCCCTAAAAAATTTGGTTGCATTCAAAATATTAGCATGGAAATTTTTCCTTCTTTATGTGTGCTTTGTGAGAGTATTGGCCATGCCAATGGTGATTGTCGTCCTCTTCCCTCCCATAACCCGAGTAATGTCGCTGCCATTGTTGCTAATCTAGGTAATCTTAATGTTATATCTGAGGATAATGTTGTTGAGATGGTTAACACTTTGGATATTAATGCTCCTTCCTTGAACGTTCCGCTTGTTATTTCTGAGAGGCTTTAAAAGGATAATTGTGAGACAAACATTATGGTTAATGCTGAGGAGAATAATGGTGTCATTGATGTTTCTTCAAATTGATGGGGAGCATGATCATATTAATGCTCTAATTGGGGTGATTGAGGATCCTATTGATACTATAACTGAGCCTGTTTTTGTTGTGGAGTATTTTTCGCCTTTGATCACATCTAGCGGAGCTAAGGATGTTTTGGTAGCTAATAATTGTATGGTTAACTCTGTTAATAGTCTTTCTGTGGATGTTGATTCTGAAGGCTGTGTAGTAGGTAGCCCTCTGGATGTTATGGAGGTGCCTTCTGCAGCTAGAAATGATATCGTCTCCTAGGTTGTCACTTTGTATTCTCTGGAACATATGGTTTGTATTAGGCCTATGGATGTTATGGCTTCTAATAAACATGTGGAATTGATGAAAATTATGATGCTTCGATGAGCTTAACTTGTAACTTCAAGGAGATTGAGAAGATGCATTTTGTTGCTGTACATATTTAGCTTGTTTCTTCTGATGGATTGAAGGCAAAATTGTCTTCTAATGTGATTGATAATAGGGTGGCTGGCTAGATGGATATGGTTCTTCACCTTGTGGGTTTACTGTTGATGGTTTGGAGGAGGCTTTGGATGATTTTAACGAGTTATATGGTTTAAATGTGAGTGACAAAATTCATAAAAACTTTTATAGTACAGGACACAAACGTAGAAAGAGAAACTAAGAAGAAGTAATCCTTCTCCTGGTTTTGTTGTTGGTGGGTTGCTGTGGCTTTTTAATGTTTGATTTCCTTTTTTGTTTGTTTGGGTGGGATTTCGTTGGATTGGATTGTGGTGATGGAGGTTTTATGGACCGGGCAATGATGAGGCGGTTTACTCTCCATTTGATAGGCTTGGCTTGTTGGCAACCACTGGTGGTGTGCTTTGTATCATACTTGGTGGACTTTGTTTGGGATGTGAGGCTATGTTTGCCCTTCTGATGACTTCTTCTGTGTGGGTTGTTGCTTGTTTCCTCATCTGGATGATCCCTGCCTTCCGTTTGGGCGGTTGCAGTAAATCTTGTCATTGACTGAGCCCAACTCACTTGTAGCCTTGTGTTTTTGCTTTTGTGAGATTTTTGTGGCTGTTTTTGTCTTGTTATCAGTTGTTGCTTGCTGGGTTTCTGATATCCTTCTTGTTATGGGATTAGTTTCTCATTTTGTGATGGTGTTATTCCTTTATTTTCCTGAATGTTTGATTGTATTTAATTGGATCATTAGCTCATAGGTTTTTCTTCAAGACTGTATTTTTAGTGAGCTTTTGATCTTCTAAGGACTTGTTCTTTTTTCTTTTGTGAAACGTATAGACCCTTATGTGGATTTTATCCAAAAAAAAAAAATCATATCTACAATATTGTAGCAATTTTCTCTAATAACAAGAAAGCTCATGCTGGTAGAAACTTAAAAAACTGTACATTGTAAGCATATCTTTTCTATGATTTCACAATTTTAAAAAAACAAGATTCGCAGAATAATGTAAACCATTGTCTCTCTCTCTCTCTCTCTCTCTCTCTCTCTCTCTCTCTATATATATATATATATATATATATATATATATATATATACTGGAAAAAAAATCCTAATCATATCACATGTTGCCTTTCTACTTGGTGCCTTTTTCTGTTCTTTATCAGCACCTTTTTTTACATGTCATGGCTTGCTTGTGAAGACTTTGAAACATCTAGGAAAAGAAGCCAAAGTAAAGTGAAAAGAAGTTTAAAGTGCTTTCCAAGTGGCATAAGCGCGCACACAAACGCGCTTTTCATCTACCAAACATTTCCAATATAATTTCTTGATTTCGTTCAATGCTGAAGCACCAGAATTCTCATCATCATCATCATCATCATCTTTATTCCATCTATTTCAGATCAGGTTTCTCATATCTCATTCTACATCACTCCAATTTAGTGCTGTTGTATTGGAGTTAACCCTATTCTACATAAGTCCTAGGGGTGTCAATTTCGGGTCACGGGTCGGGTTCAGGTCAAACCCAAAACTGACCTGGCACTATTTGGGTCAACCCGAACTCGACCCGTTTTTGAAAACGGGACAGTTTTTTGAACTCGAACCCGATCCGCTTCGGGTCCGGATCAACTCGACACGCCCCGAATGACTCGGTGCCAACAAAAAAAATGCTAATTTTCGGGTCCAAAAATAGGTCAATCTCTACTTTTTTAGTAAAAAACGGGTCAATCTCGTGTTGCCAGATCAAAAAACGAGTCAGATTCGAGTCAAAAAACGGGCCATAGGGTCAACCCGAACCCAACTCAATTTTTGAAACGGCTCGAATTGTTGAACCCAAACCGACCCGTTTCGGATTGACCCTAACTCAAAATTTTCGGGTCGGATTCGAGTCGAATTTTCAAGTCGTGTCAAATATTGGCAACCCTAATAAGTCCTTTCGTTATTCATGTTACTATAGATTTATTATTTTTTCTTTTATTTCCACATTCATTTTATCTATTAATCTTATAAGAATTCTTTTCTACTAAAAACCAACTAATCTTTTTTCTGCTAATTTATTATTAATATAAGCTCCAACCTCTCTATTTCTACAAACATATGGCTCATGCTGGTAGAAACATATTGATGTTGCATTTGTTTGGAATAGCTTTTTTCCTGCTTTAGATTTCCATATTGCAACTGCAATTTCTGTTAGACCACTTCTCTTTTGTTGCTTTCAAGAAATTTTTATGCTAGAAAACCACTTTCTATAGCAGCTTTTCAAAAAGTTACTTTCTTCTTAGCAGCTACACAATCAAATTTATAAAAAATTACAGTCATCCCAAACAGATCCTAAGTCAGTGTAGCCCTTTTTTCTTAGAGCAAAAACCAAAACCCATGACCTAATAACTAATGCAATCACTCAAATTTTAAATCCACCCTCCATAATTTTACCAAGTCTTTTATCTTAACATTCTTCCTAAATTCTGAAAAAACAGAATCATTGCTTTGAACATACATTTCAGATAATACAATAACTACTCAGTATAAGATTTTCTTTTTTTATACCAGCTCTGATTAATTCAATATCAAAGAAATAAGCATTAGATATGATATAAAGTAGATAAAAGCAATAAATATAGCTACATGATAAGCCAATCCTACTTGCTTCAAGCATGACATATACATAACCAACAATATGGAGGACTTGCACAACAGCACAAGAATACATCATCCATCAATGAATTCAAGCCCAAAAAACTAATATAGTCGGTCTCTGCATCACAATCTGAGACTGGCTTCCTATTTCCTAAACAACAAAGAGGAAAAAATATATCAAAAATATACTAGGAAGATCACCTGAAGCCAAGCTTAAGATATTTCTGCTATAAGTTGTTGAATCCCTTGATACCTTGCAGTCACAGCAAGCTCATTTCAGAAAACACCAGTTCCCAAGCCCTTGAGATATCGGGAATTCCATGGCTGGTGTGGTGAAAGAAGAGACATATCTAAAGTCATTACAGATTTCAGTTGGTTGGGTCTGATAAACCTGATCTATCTGCTCAAAATCCTCTTGAAAAGGACATAACTGAGGATTATTTCCTTCATCAATGAAGCTGCCACCACCGCCATTGCCAGAACAGAAGAAGTTGCTCATGGCCTCATTCGGAACCTCGTTCGGAACTTTACCATGATTCATACTACTTTCATACTGGCTCATCAGCTCAGCAATCAATTTCTGCCCATCATCTGGAAGGCCAAGGCCAGAGATGCCAAAAGGGCTAGAAGCATTGGTGACTGCAGGCTGCAAGTTATCAGAAGCCAGCTTTGGCTGGTTGAGCAATGGCTGAGGCATTGATAATATTTGTGGTTTGTTCTCATTTAGCTGGAAACCCGAAGACCCGAGAAAAGCCGATTGATTTGTTGGGTATCTGTTTAGATACATGTGATTGTTCCTTGTAGACTGGTATTCATTTCGCGGAAATTTTGTGTTCTCGCAGTTGAATGAACTTCCTTGATTCAGTATCATCTCGGGTTCGAGCACGGCAGCTCTCTTTTTTATAAACTCCTCATTTCCTGAGCCTGCACCTGTTTTGAACACAGAATTCATGTCGATCGGGTCTTGATTCTTCATTACTTCCTCGCATCGGTCATCATCATCGTCGACATCTTCAACGTCATACTCACTGCAGCTGCTGCTGAATGATATTGTTCCATTACAGTTGCTCACTGAAGATGGTGGGGGAAAAGCATCAGGATTTAGATCTCTGAAAATGTCCTCCTCTTGCTTAACAACAGCAAGCCAAGTGGCGCTCTCTTTTGCCGTCATCTTGTCCTGAAGGCACTTCGATTGTCTCACGAGTCTGCGAATCTTGTCAATATCAGGAGAAAGATGTTTGATGACGGCGGTCAGGACACCAACCTTCCAAGCCTTCTTCAAATCATGAGGCTTCTTATAGGGAGGAGGAGGCTGGTCATTTGTAAAGCCGAGCTGCGGCCACCACTCCTCCTTTCCAGTAGGCCACCATGGAGGAGGAATCCCTTTTTCAAGTGGGAACCTTCTTTGAGGAGGATCACAATGCTGCATCAGTGCGGATAAAAGAGATCCCAATGTAGTGTCCTGAAGCTCTTGCAATGAGTGAGGACTGATAAGCCTGGAATTGTGATCACTGTTAGGACTTTGTATTCCATTATCAGCCTGGTACTTGGCAATTGCTGCAGGTCCGTTGCGATCGAATCGAACCTTTTCCTTCCACCAGCCTCGAAGATTATCCGAAGCGCCACTCACCGGCTTCCCCTTCTCGGGGATAATTCCATAAACGAATCCTTGAGCCTTACATACCTCCATCATTTTAAGCATATATTTGAGAATTCCATCCTGGGCTCGTGACATCTTCTTCCTCCTTGCTTGCTCCTGTGACTGGCGATGCTTCATGTCATCGCCGAGGTCTTTGTTCTTGGAGATCTTCTGCTCTTTCAGTCGTTTGATACGCAGCCGATCTCTCCACACACGGCGCTCCAACTCTTGGACATCCATGTCTTCATCACTCTCTTCATCATCAAGCATGCTCTCAGGGAAGTTCTCAGGCAGAGGGTCAACCAAATCTCCTTCAATCATAGCAGACTCACCACAGGGAGGGTGTTGGAGATGAGAGAGATTGGAAGTTGATGATGGTTGGAATATCGAGACAAAACCGACATTTTTGTCATGGCCAGGAGGCATGAAATGTGAAAAATCTAAGCCACATGGGAAGCCAGTGGGTTCAATTGCTAGCTCGCCCATGAAGAAGAAAAGGGTCAGATAAACAGAAACACAGCTTGTAACTCCTGCAATAATAGAACTTCTCTTCATCAGATACACACACTCTCTGATTTCAGAAATAATAATATAACTAAGATGTATGAAAATTAAGAAATTATTTCTTGCTTCTACGAATCAAGAGAAAGGAATTCATCAAATGCAAGTGAAAAAATAATACAAAAATCATGAACAACATATAGCATAATTTTCAATTGTGGGATTTCAGTAAGATCCATATAACTATTTTGAGAGGTAAATTTCTAAATTTGTCACACAAAAAAGCAAACTTTATATGTTGGAGAACTTATGTAAGTGAAAATCTTCATAAATCTCCCAGCAACCTCTGTACTATTTGAGCTCAAGTAACTAAAATAATCCAAAATTTTCCCTAATGATCTTACACGCTATCCAACTACAAATCAAGCAGAGTAAAATTGTTCTCAAGAATGATCTAACACAAAAAAAAAAAAAAAAAAATAAAAAAAAAAAAAAAAAAAAAAAAAATACTGCTCTCCATAAAGGAAAAAAAAAATCTTTTTTTTTTACTTTTTTCCACTGATGAAAAGGGTAAAATGAATCGAATCATGTTCTCCAACAATAATTGCAGACCATACAATTCCAAAGCAGGAACATAAAAGTAGGCGAAAAGATGAACAAAATCTAAAAGTGAAATAAAAACAATATAAAAAAGAGATTTACAGGGAAGAAAAAATAAAAATAAAAGCATGGGGATCCACTAAGATAAGAACTTGGATCTGATGATAATCAGAAAATCATACTGAATCTGAAACCCGCAAAAAATAAAATAAAATAAACAGGGGAAGATTAAGTAGAGAAGAAGACGAACCGACACCCATAGGCCGCAGAATTAATTCATCGCTCTCTCTCCATTTTTTTCCTAATTAATACATGTTCATAATAAGCTGGTACGTTTCAACTGAATCGAGACAAATTCTCAAAATTAGTAAGGTTTAATGCCTCAAAAACCAGATTTCCGTCCCCCAAAGAATTCAAAATCCGATCTTTAGAAATCATGAAACGACCTACCACAGGAAAAAGATGACAAAAAAGTACTCGGAGCGGATTGAGATGCAAAGATGACTATTCTCTGTGACAACTTCTTCTGTTGTGCAAATCTGATGCAAAGATGACTACTCGCACATCAAATTTATTTATTAATTTTTGTTTTTTAAGCAGCAAAAGCTCCTAAAAACATCAACTTTGCATCATATTTGCACAGCAGAAGAAGCTGTCACAGAGAACGCAGCAGAAAGGATCAACAGAGACGAAGCCCAGCGGCACAGAGAAACACAATCATGTAAAATCATCAAGTTCAACAATTTAAGGCTCTTCTAAAGAAAAAAACTATCCCAATAACGCAAGAACACATCAAACGCCACCAATACTGAAGTAAAAAAAAATTAATTACGTATCAGATTTGCAGAACAAAACAAGCCTCCGAAAAAAAAACGCAGCTTTCCGAAAATAGAAGCATGAAGAAGAAGGGGAGATTAAGTGTTAAGAAAGCAAACCGTTTTCTGGGCGCTTACTCCATTAGAGCTCACAAGGGGAGCTTTTCTGTCTGCCGACAGAGAAGAGAGGTGAGGAATACAGAGTCACAGATCAAAATCGTCTCATGGGAAGACAAAATGGAGTTGAGTTCCTCTTTTATCTCTCGCTCTCGCTCTCGCTCTATCTCTCTCTCTCTCTGCTCCGTGTGAGAAGGGGAAGAGGGTAAATAGGAAAGTGGTGAGACAAGGTTGGACAAGGTTTGCGATTTAACCGCCGTGAAGACATTAATTACAATTTTCAGGTGCTGAGATGGCGTGAGATCTGCGTTCTAACGTGCGTGCAAGCCCACCTTCATGGAGACTGCGTTCAATACTTAATTACGATATTGCCACTCCCAATTATCACCCAATGTTGCGTTTAAAACAAAGTGAGAGAGAGAGAGAGAGAGAGAGAGAGAGAGAGAGAGAGAGATTTTATTATATTCTTAGATATTGAATTTAAGAACATATTGATATATATGAAGGATATTGTAAGAGAGCATCCAAAAAAATAATTTTAGATTGAACACAATAGAATTCATATGAAGAATGTTCCATCATCATGGTTAACATGTCAATAAATTGACCTAGGAATAAAGCCTTATAAAGAACCTGCCAATCTACTTAACTCCAAAGGCTGATTATGATTTTATTTGTGACAACTTTATTACTGCTTTCTACACTAGCTTTTTGGTATAAAATTTTCTTTAAAACGACGAAAAAATAGCGACCAAAAGTTGTCCCAAACGAAGCCCGAATAAGACCATCCAAGTAGCTCAGCATGATTAATCGCTAGAATTTGACCAAGGTAGGTGAGTTCAGTCATCAACTCTACACAAGCCTATCTCATATTTGAAAAGTGGTAAGTGCGGGTTTAAGACACATAAGAGTCATGTTTGGGAAAAATTATTAGGTGCGGAGTGCGCACTGTCCGCACAAATACTGGGTATTTAGCGATATCCAGCGGTACCGAGTGGGGTACCGCTAAGGTACCCAATACTTGTGCGGACGGTTCTCCCCATCCGCACTCCGCACCTAATAACATGGGGAATGTTTTA